TTAGACCCTCCTCTAGATCATTGGGCAGCACATAAATATCAAACCAGGCCCAGTTAAGTAATTTGGCCATAACTTCCTCATTATTCATCGGAATTGGGCTTATAATATATCGTTGGAAAGGTATTTTCAAGCCCGACCTAACTACACTATTATTAGACCCTCATCATGGACCAAACTAAACTGGAATGTACGTTTTTCATAAATAAGGTAAGAAAAGAAATATTTTCAAAAACAGAAAGAAGAAATATTTTAATTAAAAACTTCCTCATCACTAGACTTTTCACACTTTTGCTTTATTCGATAATCAAATGACATGAAAGATTTTCATCACTGGGTTTGATTTTGGGGAGACACATTTGGGTGTCTACACTATTATGAATTCATTGTGATCAATATTAATTTATTTTTTTATTTTGAGATGAATTTGTGGGTGAAATCATTGTTTTAATATCAATTGAATTTGTAGAAACTAATTTGATTGATTTCAATTCGTAATCAATCACCTGATTATTTTTATTGTTCTGGTTAATTTGTTGTTCTCATTAATTTGTGTGCAGTGTATTGATTTTGAGATGAATTTGTGGATGAAATCACTGTTCTAATATCAATTGAATTGTTGAAGTAAATTCGATCAATTTCAATTCATAATCTATGTTCAACTTGCTGAATACCACACCTATACTATTGAACATTTAGTAAAAAAAATCGAACGATTGCAAATTTTGAACATTTAGTAAAAAATAAATAAATCCGAACATCTCAAATTTTGAACATTTAGTAAAAATATCTGAACTATCGCAATGTATCACGCCTATACTTTTGAACATTTAGTAAAAAAATCTGAACAATTACAATTTTTGAATATTTATTAAAAAAAATCCAAACATCGCAAATTTTGAACATTTAGTAAAAATATATGAACAATCGCAATGTACCACGCCTATACTTTTGAACATCAGCAAAATAAATCTAAGCATCGCAAAATTTGAACATTAAGTAAAAATATCCGAACAATCGCAATGTACACACCTATACTTTTGAACATTTAGTAAAAAATCTGAACAATTGCAAAATTTGAACGTTTAGTAAAAAACAAAAAGTCTGAACACTGCACCACACCTATACATTAGAATATTTAGTAAAAAATTATGAACAATCGTATGTGGCTCAGCTATTCTAGATGGACAAGGGTGCACAATAGACTTATTGATGAAAAGGAGAGTGAATGAGAATTGAGAGATTGGGTTTTGGAGTGATGTGGTGAGAAGTTGAGAAAACATCTTTAAATTATATAAAAAATTGGAAATTTTTTTATAAATAATCCCAATTTTTGTTGATGTGCTCAAAATAACCCCAACTTTGGATTATTTTTAAATAATTCAAAAAAAAACTATTAAGATATTATTAATTTAATTTTTTATGTTTTTTCCCCAATCAATTACATGGTGACACATGTCACCTTAACCTGTTATAATAGATTTGGCGACCGGTTGGGATCATTTTGAGCGAAAAACCCCTAAAGTTCAGATTATTTAAAAATAATCCAAAGTTGGAATTATTTTCAGTGAACGAGTGAAAGTTGGGATTATTTTTATCAATTTTTCCTTTTTAAATTTATTTTTTTGTATTTTTTTCAAGAGATACCAATAACCACCAACATTTAACTTTAGGTAGTTTTCTTTTGCGTATAATGTATCCCGTGCAAAGAGAAACTCAATGTTGCCAAAAAAAGGGGTCAAAGCCTCAAAGGAACTCAAATCAACATTTTAGTTTCCATTCTTTCTAAGAGCATGTTCGGCGCTAGCTTTTGAGTAGCTTTTAGTGGTTTGACCAAGTCAAACCACTACTCAACAAAAAATGTGAGTGTTTGGCAAAGTAATGGTTCAAGTAGCTTTTAGTGGTGGAGGTAGGTTTTATTAAAAGGTAGGATTATTAGCTTTTGAAGTTAGAGGTAGCTTTTGAAGTAGCTTTTGAAAATTTATTGTATAGTTTTAAAAATAAAATATTGATTCTTAAATGTAACAGCTAGTCAACCACTACTTTACCGAACAATCATACCTAAATTATCTTTTTTCACAGATAACAGCTTGTTGACAGTTAACAGCTATCTCCATAGCTACAGTTAGGGCTGTACACCGGTCCAAAACCGGACCGGACCTGACCCGGACCTGAATGGACCGGGACCTGAATTCTTGATTTTTAAGGACCGGAGACCGGACCTGAATCAACAGGTCCGGTTCCGGTCCAGACCTGAAAAATCAAGTCCGGTCCGGGTTTGGACCTGAATAGACCTGATTAGTTTTTTTTTTTATTTTTTTTTATTTTTTTAAAATAATATGAAAGTGCTGACCTGTTTGGACCTGTTTAGACCTATTATGGACCTGATTGGACCTGTTTGGACCTGTTATGGACATGTTTGAACCTGTTTATGGACCTATTTAAACTTATTAAATAAAAAAGTAGTTTTACCGGTTTCAGGTCCGTACCTGAAATTTCCGGGTTTTACCCGGACCGGACCTGAAACCCGAAATCCTTGAATTTCAAGGACCGGGACCGGACCTGAATCTACAGGTCCGGATCAGGTCCGGTCCCAATGGATCCGGTTTAGGTCGGTTTTCAGCTTCGGGCCAGTTTTTGTACACTCCTAACTACAGCTATATTTTGCCGAACATGCCCCAAGTATGCCAACCAAACGCTCAAATGCCAAACATTTCAATTTTAAAAACCAAAACACTTAGCGGGCAATTCAAAATTTCGCACATATCACCCTCCACGCTGGCAATCCGTGTAAACCAAAACCAACCAATAGAATCAATCACACACTCCCCTATAAATACCAAAGACCCTTCATTCAACTCCTTACTCATTCACAACCTCTTCATCTTCCTCTAATCTTTCACTCTTCAACTTTCTATCTCCTCAAATTCTCTCTGCAAATTCAACCTTCTAAAATGGCCGGCAAAGATGGCGCAACAGTCAAGAGCACTGCCGGAAGAGGCCAGCGAAAGAGCGGCGTCAAGTCAGTTTCTCGCTCTTCCAAGGCTGGGCTTCAGTTTCCGGTGGGTCGCATTGCGAGATTCTTGAAGAAGGGTCGTTATGCTCAGAGAGTTGGGTCTGGATCCCCTGTATACCTTTCTGCTGTCCTTGAGTATCTCGCTGCTGAGGTACCATTTCTCTCTCTTTCATTTTTTTTGTTGATTTTTTTTTTCCTTGATTTAATTTGTGTACAAGTGTAGATTTCTGTTGATTTTTCTGGATTTATGTTTGTGTGCCTAAAATGTTGAATATTTTGATTTGAATTGAATGTGAGACTTCTGGTTGAGTATGATTTTTGATTTCTAGGTTTTTTTTGTTCTAATTTTTTCGCTTCAATTATTTTGGTATTCTGAGTTTTTGTAATGATATTTTTCAGATACTTATTACTCAGTATTTGATTGAGGTTAAATGATGATTTTATTTTATAATTTTCAACTTTTGATTGTCCAGACTGAGTTTAAATCCAAACCTTTGATTTTGGATTTGATTTTTGAATTCTGGAATTTTTACTTCCAAGTCTTTTTATTTGATTTTCAAATTACATTTACTATGTTACACATTGATTTATGGTGTTTTAATTGTGATGAAAAGATGATATCTGAATTGAATTATTGCGTGAACCTTTTGTTTTCATCCTGCTGTTAATTGGTGAAATGTTGAATGAACAGGTTCTGGAATTGGCGGGAAACGCAGCAAGAGACAACAAGAAGTCTAGAATCATACCAAGACACATTCAATTGGCAGTCAGAAATGATGAAGAATTGGGCAAACTTTTAGGGGGTGTGACAATTGCAAGTGGAGGTGTTCTGCCTAAAATCCACTCTGTTTTGCTTCCCAAGAACACCGGCAAATCTAAGAGCGACAAGCCTGAAAAGTTATCAGAATCTCAGGAATTTTAGGGTTTTAAATTAGGAATTTCAGCTATTTGGGGATGATTGTGGTTGGAAAAATATTACTAAAAGTTAGGAAGTATATGAAATTAGGGTTTTAGTTGATGGATTTACTGGTGTAATTTCTGATGTTTTGCTTATTGAACAGTTTGTTCACCTTTATAAAATATGGCTATTTGGTTCTTCCTTCAAAATTTCTGCAATTTGTTCTGGTTTGTTTCAATTTATGAGCTAAAGTTTTAATTGAGAGCAAGACATTGTTGATAATATAAATAGTGGTTCTTGTGTTCAATCCATCGAAAATGAAATACGGAGTACATATCAACATATACAGTGCAAAACTAAGCTAAAAATACAGAATATAATCCAATGATTATCAATTTATCATGTCTAACCTATCATTAATCCACTAAACCCACTATTGTTATGACTTCACTATCCCAAACTAATTATTGTAAATATTCCAGAAAACATAACATAATCTTGTATTTGCTTAATTGAGGGTAATATGATTGTATGAAATACTCTGTAAATTTTTTAGTAATATGTCAGTATTTAGAACATCTGGTTATTTTCGAGTCCATGCTTGTGTTTTAAAATTAACATGAAAGTGTCAAATTAATCCTAATTTAAATGGAGAAGTAGCAAATTTGGGAGGGAAAATGAAATCACGGAGCTGAGAAAAGGGGGATGGATAGGATAAAGGAGGTCAACGAAATTGATGAGTTAGAAAATGCGGATTTCCAATAATGCTTGTTGGATAAATATATAGTCTACTCCAGTATCATTTAAGCAACTTCCTAATAATTGTGCGCGATTCAAAACGTTAAACTTAATCCGTTTCACTAGAGAGTCTAGATTAAAAAGAAAAATGGTCATAAAATAGGACGATGATTTCCAATGAAACACTAAACATATTTTTCAATTTCGAATTCAATCAATCCTACAACCCCTATAAATATCATACACTCTTAACCATCTTCTCATACATTCAAAGTCTCTTCGTAATCCTCTTCAAATTTCTGTCTTCAACTTTTCTCGACAATTTTTTTTTTTTTTTTTGAACCAACAAAAATGGCTGGCAAATATGGCGCTAAAATAGTCAAGGGCACTGGCGGTAGAGGCAAGCATAAGAGTGGAATCAAGAAGGTTTCTCGGTCTACCAAGGCTGGTCTTCAGTTTCCGGTAGGTCGCATCGGTCGCTTCTTGAAACAGGGTCGTTATGCTCAGAGACTTGGAACTTATTCTCCTGTATACCTTTCTGCTGTCCTTGAGTATCTTGCTGCCGAGGTACCATTTTCTTTCTCTTCTTTCCACATTTTCCTTCATTTTTTTGTAATTCATTTGAATTATTTCTGGTGGTTTGATTTCATTTATTTTTAAAAGTTTTGATTTGAAATTAAGGTGAAAATTCTGATTTTGAATACGTATGATTTTTATTTCTATTTTTACTACAATTGTACTTCAATAATATGTTAATTCCGAGTTTTGGTTATGATATTTTTAAGATGCTTGATTGTTTAATTGAGATGAAACAATGATCAACTTCTGATTGTTAGTTTTAAATTCAAAGTCAAAACCTCTGTTTCAAATTTTCATTTTTTATTTTTTTATTTTTGTTCGACTTCTGATTATTTTGCTTTTATTCCTCTGTATTAATTATTTCATATCTCAAATTCTGATAATTTGATTGTGACGAATGAATGAACGATTGAATTTATAATGTGGACTAATTATTCATGAATATTGTATGTTCAAATTGATGTAAAAATTGGTGAATGGTGAATGAACAGGTTCTGGAATTGGCTGGAAACGCGGCGAGAGACAACAAGAAAAAGAGAATCAAACCAAGGCATATTCAATTAGCTGTTAGGAGTGATGAAGAATTGAACAAACTTTTTGGCTCAGTCACAATTGCAAATGGAGGTGTTATGCCTTATATTCACGGAGCTTTGCTTCCCATGAACACTAGCAAATCTGAGAGCAACAACGGCAAATAGCTGTCTAAATCTAAGTAGTTTTCGGGTTTTTGATTTAGGGTTTTCGAGAATTTGTGGATGATTTGATATGTTTATGGTTGGTAAATATATTAGTAAAATAAAAGTTAGGAGTAAATGAAATTAGAGGGTTTTAGTTGATGTAATGTGTGATGTTTTTGCTTATTTAACAATATGTTTACTAAAAAAAGCGTGCTTGGTACTTCCTAATTACTGCAATTTCTTCCTTCTGTTTTACGGAGTAGATTGTTTTACATTACGAGCTTTTACGTGTTAATTGATAGTAAACCATAAAAAAATACTGGTATTTGCTTTCACTTATTCAAATTTTGTTATAAAATTCTGTTTTTGATACATTTTTGGCTATGTTAATAAGATATACGCATACACTACCGCCTTCCACTACTGGCAGTAACCACATCTGCCAACCTACTCCATGTGCCGCACTCTATTTCCACCTCCCCATGACCAACAATGATTTTACATTGCCTCGTTGGTTTTTTTAACACATAATTACATAGATTTTGTTTTGGTGGTGGTATGTCACAATAAGGACAACTTTTGCACATCTCTTTTGCTATCAAGTTAGCTCCTTTTATTGTTGCAGCACTTGGAATCTTTGTGGAGTATTACTTCTTGCTACTTGGTTTCTCTTTTGAGAATTGATTAATTTCAAGCGATGGGATTTAATCTTTTCTTGCGCAATTTTATTTGTTTTTCTTCAACTGTGATTTCACGTAGTAGTGTAGTGTCTTCTCCCCGATGATGGTTTGATCCCTTAACTTATTCTCTGGATGTGCAACTTGGCCCAAGTATATGCGTGACTCTTCTCTTTCGGCCTAAAAGCGCATATCTCTACTATACGTAGGTCGTGGTTGTTGCTTCTCATCGTCATCACCAGCACACGTCTACTACTTCTCTTTTGATCATGGGTTACTATACTATCCTTACCGTTCGATGCGTGATTCAGATCCAGTCTGAGCATCCGATTTTCTCCCGCTCTGACTGCGGGAGTGTAATAGAGAATATTCATAGAATATTCTCATCCTAGGTTTAGGATATATTTTGTATAAGATTATCTTTGATATCTGTACATATCTTATAGTTACCTAATATGATTAGGTTTCTCATTGTAACCCTATAAATATTGATCAATGGAAATTACTCTAATCAAGGAGTTTTATATTATCTAACATGGTATCAGAGCCAGCGTGACATATAGGTCACGGGTTCGAATCTCATCCACCCCCACTTTCAAGTGGAATATTAAGCGCTGGGTATGAGGAGGGCCCATGCTGCATCCACACTTCTAGCCCAAACGGACTTTCGTGTGAGGGGGCGTGATAGAGTATAAAACATATCCTGGGCCTCAACTATTAGTTTAAGCTTTTGGTTGAGGCCCAGGAATATGTTTTATACTCTATCACATCTATCAGAAATCTGAGACTCAACTCGTCATTATCTAGTTCTAATTGCAGGTAAACTTTATCTTTACCTGTTGTTTTTTCATGTAGCACAAAAGGTCTAAATGGCAAATGTTTTATGTAGCACGGAAATGGCAGGGTTTGAAAACAGCTTATGGGGAAGCCTTTTTTTGAAACTCAGGTCTTTGAAGTTAAGGTTCCATGCTCCCTAGCTTCTTGTTACATAACCATTCATTCCTTGATTAATGATTTAATGAAGTAATTACCAGTTTCCCTGCTATCAAAAAACTTGCATAAAGTAATGTCTTAGAAGTTTTGTCGATTGAAATAGTTAAAACTTCTACAGTATCAATGAAAAAATGAAAAAGCATATTAAGGTGAATTGGAGAGTTTTTCAATTGCAAGGGAGTTATTTTCATAGAAGCTTTTATGATGTATTGGGGATTCATTAATCTAATGTCATTTTGCATAGTAATGTGTGTCCATCTCTATTGCCGCATTTTCATCATAAACTTTACTTATAAGCCGCATTTTCATCATCCGGATTGTTTGAAAAAAAAGCGCAATGTAGGATAGCTCACATGTGAGTTTTTGGTAAGTACATACATGTCTTAAGTTCATTAAAATTTACTTATAAATTATAATTAGGGTCAATTGTCAGAAATTACGTGTCTGGATTAGGATCATTAGTTATCTACCAGTGTGAGAAGGATTGCAAGTACATACGTGTCTGAGATTTGGATTAGTCAAATTTAATGAATGGTTTAGATTTGATTTATTATATTGACTACAATTTTAATGTAATCATTTGAAAAGTATCCTGTATATTAAGGTAATTAGTAATTTACATACGTGTCTTATGACCATTGATAGGTACATACGTGTCTTAAGACCACTGGTATGTACACATGTGTCTTAGGACAATTGGTTTTTATCAATGAAAGAAATCAAGAAGTATATGTAATAATGTTTTTATCAATGAAAGAAATCAAGAAGTATATGTAATAATGCTTTATCATTGAAAGAAATCAAGAAGTATATGTAATAAAGATTTTTTTCAATGAAAGACATCAAAAAGTATATGTAATAATATAATTACATATCTCAAGATAGGGTAGATTATATTATATATTGCCCAAAACAATATTCATTTATTTTTGGTACCTACAAGAGGTTTAGCAAAAGAATCTTTGGTTAGTAAGTGAAGTTCACAAACAAAGGCTACAAAGTTATAATATACATTTGATGTCATTATCTACTGATTAGATCTCCTTCAATTTTGTTTTGTTAATATTCTTAATCTTCGACAGCTTATCTATCCACATTAAGACAAATTCTACACATTATTGACTAATTGTTTACTATCAATTTGTTATTAATACAAACTAGCATTTGCATGGTATATAACTCTTTGCAGGAGTCACTTGTTAGTTCACTCTGCTTATCGTCTAAAGCCGGTTGTAATAGTTATTTCGCAAAATGACTATTGAACATGACGAAGAAATTGGTGCAAGAGAGGCTATGCAAGATGCTAAGGAGCCATTAATCGAGCATCGAAAGATCAATGGCCTCGAAAACAAGTCTTCTTCTCAAGGCAATGGTGATAAAGGGTCAAATTTAGTTGTTTTTATTAGTACTATGGTTGCTGTCATGGGCTCCTTTGAGTTTGGTTCTTGTGTAAGTTCATTTAGTTCTTATGATTTAATCACTTACTGTTAATTAAATCTGTGTTTGAAAGTAAAAAATGCTTGTTATTTTTTATAGGTTGGATATACAGCACCTACTCAAACATCTATAATTAAGGACCTCAACTTATAAGTGGCAGAGGTGAGTGCAGTTTAATAATCTTAAGCTAATTATACTTTCGCATTCATAAATTATTTTGTGGCATGATCTGATATGAGATGGTTTCATAATAACTTACCATTAGACGACACATGATAAATTTTCCCCTTTTTTTTAATATAAAAATCAGTTCATCTTGTATGAGCGTGGGCCATAATAATTTGTCGTGAGATCAAAACAATTTTGTTCACTCTAGGATGAATTGATTTTTTGAGTATTTTTTATTATTTCGTGATAAAATATTACAGTAAGACTTGCTTAGGAATACCTTTTAATATTTCGGGATAATTATTATGACTCAACTCCACCTAAGACTTTATATATCTTGTTGGACAGTGATCAGCGAACACAGATTAGAGAGCCTAATGCAAAAGCCTGAGAGCCAAAAATCTACACGTATCTTTTATATGAAGAAAATAATCATGCATTTAATTTAGGCCCTGTTTGATTCACCTTAATTTTGCTGAACTGAACTTAATTTTACTGAACTGAACTTAATTTTACTGAACTTAAATTATTTTTACTGAAGTGAAATTATTTTTACTGAAGTGAAATTATAATTCTTCTTTAAGAAAACTGAATTTTACTGAAGTGAACTTATTTTTACTGAACTGAAATTATTTTTACTGAACTGAAATTAATTTTACTGATCTGAACTTATTTTTACTGAACTGAAATTGTTTTTACTTAATATTATTTTTTTAAGGTGAATCAAACAAGGCTTTAGTCCAAGAAGATAAATTTCTGATTTGATGTTAATGTAAAATATGCATTGTACTAATGATCTCTTTCCAGCTGGGGTAGTTACATTTTCTTGATTCTTTTCACATAACCTTTTGATTCTGATTTATTTCAATAATAACACCAAATTCACCACTCACCAAGCCACCATCATCAACCAGATAGATTGTAGTGGTGGTGTTTTGGAGAATCGCAATTTCCATTATACATCTGGGTGTACCTAGCTCTAGGGACACCCAAGGTTAGATTTTGATCATACGTAGTATGTAAATTTGGAGCTAGCTAAACAAGAGAGCTACGAGCAAAAAATAGCCTTGGTTGTACCTAGATCGGTGTATAATGATCACTTTCGAAAGAATTTAAGTCATTCATAACAATGTACCACATAAAGGCTAGTTCAAAATGCACATATAGTACCAAACTACCAACAGAAGCTTTTCCAATGTCTAATGTCATTGTAGCCATTGCAATAAAAAGATCTACAACACTGATGAATGATAGATATATTGAATTTAAGGATTTAGAGTTTTTAGACCTCTCACTGTAATACTACCTCCTTTACACATTATTTGCAACGATTTGACATAAAGTGTGAGTAGAAAATGTCTAATCGTTGCAAATATTATGTTATGGAGGAGGTAATATAAAGCTGATGCCTTTGTAATTTTGTAAAATATGTCACCAAATGTTTGGAGTGAAAATTAGGAGCAAACCAAGTTGGTTCAACCAATTTGGAGTCATGGAAATAGTGCCATAAGTTTTATAAGTAAAGTCATGTACTTGACTTTGAACAAGCCTTAGAAGTCTTATCAGTTACTACATGGACTGAGACTGAGAATAGACTTTCATGTGTCATTCATGAAATTTTCCTCTGCTGCACCTTTCAGTTTTCGTTGTTTGGTTCTATTTTGAGCATTGGAGCTGTGCTTGGTGCAACCACCAGTGGACGTATTGCTGATCACTTTGGCCGAAAAGGGGTAACAAACATTCTGA